CAGTAAGATTATTTTGTTATGATTTGTATATTCTTAAACTTCTCTTCTAAAAATACAGACTCAGAGTCAGATTTTCAAAGCAGAGCACAATGGATGTATCAAAAAAAAATCCATGTGTCTAAGCTAAAGGTTATATACATTTGCAAGTGCCTACCTGTTTACATATATAACTAGATGATTTGAAAAAGCAAATACAGATTTCTACAGTGCTGCACCCAGATTTCAAAATCTGACCCTTAATATACCAGTTAATCTAGTCAGAGAGAGAAAAGAACAATGATTAACTTTATTAACAGAGCAGCACTGATTTTATGAGGTTTTAAAAATATTTCCAATTTTCCTGCAACTATCTGCACCTTTGAAACATACCTTAATTACATTATATTTCCAAAGTAGAAAGTCAGTATATTGCTACAGATATTAAAACCATACACCAAATAAATATGACCTGGTTCATAAGCTCAAGGGAGTCCCAAGCACAGAAATCAAAATTCTTGCTGTGGACCAGTGGAAGATGAGTCAGTGGTGAAAATGATGCACTCAGTCTCCAACGGAAGTGTGACAACTGAAACACTTAAACAGCATCTCCTCTGATTAATCAATACTGCTGTATTTGGCATCAGTTAAGAAAGAAGATAAAAGTGTAAAGTGGAGGAATTCTAAGTAGAAATCTAGAAGTTTGAATCAGTGGTATCAATGAATACTTGTATGTAAGTGACACTGCAGAATTACAGTTATAATAAAAGTTGCAGAATAAAAATATGAGTAAGGATATACTGTGGGGCCTGATGCTGCAAATCTTATTCCTGTGAGTCATGGTTACCCACAAGAGGAGTCCAGTTGACACACAACTTGGTTTGGGTGTGGTCACAAATACACATCAGAAGCATTCAGTGGAACTATTCTAATCTCTGTTAAATTGCAGTGGATGAGTGAAATACAAATTTTACATACATCTAATAAACTTGCTGTATTTTTCTTTTTTGAAAAAACAATGTATGAATACTGTAATACCAATGTGGGCAAACTGTAAACTAGAAAGGATGATGTTCTCATTCCTGTTTTGAAGATGAGAATATTACAGATTAGTTATTTAAACTATGTTTTTACATTACATTCTGCTTTTATTACATCTTAAGTGAAAGTCATCAAAATGTCATTAAGGCCTTTGTGCTTGGCACTATTTGAATGTAAACATTTCAGCAAGCTTGTTCTGAGCCATGCAATACTGATTTTTACAGTTATAAACATCCAATAAATGAAAACCTGAGTGTTATGATTAGACTTTGAAAAAAAAAGATCAACCAGTTTATTTTCTGTCTCCTGTCTTTTACATCATCTTTAGCATTAACTACTAACACAGTGCTACTCCTAGTAAACTAACCCCAAGGAATGTCCTGCCAAATTCTACCATCAATCCAATGCTGAAAAGCAGCTCAATGGTGCTGTAAAGCTCCACCTTACAAATTCCATTTCTTTGGGCATTGATTCTAGTGGCAATTATTACCTGCCTAATCTATTGAAAAACTTTCTGCCATTGCAGTTAATTCTTATTTGAAGTGCTGAGATTAGGAAGACTAAATAATAGTTTCATGTGTTCAAACAAAACACTAACCCCTATTCTATTCTGTTTCTGAAAACAATTAAGCTACATGAGAAAAACATGCATCAGATCTTAGTAACATGAAAAGATCAGCATGCACTACTTTTGTTTTAAAAACAATATTTTAAAGACAATAAACAGAAATTCTCAAATTGTTTGGGGAATTAATTTTGTTCTATCCAAGTAGCATCTCTTTGGGCCATCGTCAGGGCTGCTGAGAGGAGGCGAAAGGGGGATAACTGTAACGGGGTCCCAAGCTCACCTCCCCCAACATGTTTAATGTCTGTGTAAATAAAGTGAAATGGCAGGGCATGGGGCCCCAGTGATCCTAATGTACCGGGCCCCAAATTTCTATCAACGGGCTGTGGTTTAGCCATTATTTTTTTCTTACACTTCTTATACAAGCTGGATTTTTTTTTAAAAAAGAGTAATGACTTTCTTCAGAAATTCTTACTTTAAGCTATTACATGAAGAAAGAGAGGAAAAGCCTCAAACCCACTTTCAGCTTAAAAATGTGTAATTACTGATTAGGTTTCCCTTTCTTTAACAATGTCAGCTACCAAGTACAACACTTAATTTGTCTCATTTCCCCCCCTCATAGTAGTAACCTGTGGTAGCCAATTTAGTACAAAAATTATTAACTCATTATTGAAGAAAAGTACTATGAAGCATTATTCTGTATTTGAAGTATGCTAAAAACAGAAAATGATTTTGCCGCTGCTAATCTGGGATCATTATCACATTAGCCTAGCATGCATACGCCAAATGACAAATCAAACCAGTAATTTTAATATAAGAAACATTTTACTATTCCTCTCCTAAAACCCACTCTGCATTCAATAACCTCTTAATCACAGTAGTTTCTTTTGAAAGAGATTCTGTAATACATGAAGGTGCAAGCACCATTAACTATCACACAAGGAGAACATTTCTGGTAGTAACAAAAATCTGATACTCTTTGAATTCAAGGTACTTGCCTCAAACTGAAACTGGGAATTTCCCTGAGCTAAGTCACAGTTTGTTTGACTGCATGTACTTTAAGAGTTAGTGATAATGAAGTGGCAGACAAACACTATCAGAGAAAGCACTTCTGACTTTTTACTATCCCTACAGATTAAATACATTCAGAATCTATCCATTATATATTCAGATAGGGAAATGGAATGCTAGCCTTTCATTGTCAATCTACATAGAGTCTCATCATCAGATAGTACAAATGAAATGCTAATGTAAGAAGATGAATGCCAATTTCCTTCACTTTGCTCCAAGTTTCAGTGGCTCTCTACAATAAAAGATAGCTGTTTGTGGAGACTGGCTTGTTCCATACCATTAACTCAGAACAAAACATATTTTTAGTGGGACAGCAGTGTTTACTTGTAAGAACTGATGAATTGTATGCCACCATTTATCACTTGCAGACAAAGACATTCAGGCTCAATTTTGGACATAAATCAAGGTACATGCTCCTAAATAAAAAAGGATTGCTTAAGTCCCTAAAACTGCATAGATTGAGGTCAGATTGGCCATAGCAACCACGAATGGTACTTAGGCCTCCAGCAGGACTTAGCAACCAATAAATGAGCTTAGATCTCTTTTCATCTCCACTGGTGTGAAAGCCAAAATTAAAAAGATTAGATCACCCTGCACCCATCACAATAGGCTTCACAATGAAAAAGTCATTTCTAGCCTTTGAATCACATCAAATAAATAACATTCATCCCTTCTATAATGAACAACTTTCAAAGTAAATTGAATCTCCATAGTGCTGCTTTCCCTTGCTGCACCATATTTACATAACAATATATCACAGGAAGCTCAGAATCGGTCTTGTAAATGGGAGACTCTGAATAAAATGAATCTTTAGCACAGATTACTGTATATTCAGCTTCAAACTGCCTTCCATTTCCCTTCTTTAACCAATATATTATAGATTACAATCAATATAACAAATGCTTTAAAGCTTGCAATATGAAAGTTTATTTCAATATGGGAATTGTACGGTAAATAGATTTTCCCCCTCTCATTTGAGAATTAGTTCCAAATTCTACTTCTAAGTGCCCAAATACTATCTGGTTAATATTTGATTGAAAACAGTGGTACATTATTCCAGTTTATCACAACCTCCTCTCATGCTGTAGTTATTTCACTTTATTCTTTAAATTATTCGATCTGTTCTTTTAAACCCGCTACACAGTCTAGTATTTTAATTTTCTATTTCAACATGAAACATTGTTTTTTGTTCTTGTTCCAGTCTTTGGAACATTAGTTATTTGTAAACATTTAACAAGTGTACAATATCATTGATTGCGACTGAAATAATCTAAACAATTTTAATTAAAAAAATTCTCTCAAATGTTCTCGTCGTCTCATTACAGGAAAAGCATTTTTCTTATGCTCAACTTGTCCTTATTAAAATGGATCAGTATCCCATTTTCATTGCAGAGTATATAAACTACTGTTTAATGGAAAGTGCTCCAAAAGCAATATCTTAAAGTCAGAAGGTTATACCTACATTAAAAATATGCTGGAATAATTTCTGCCTTCTGCAGCAGCAGCTCATGTAGATAATACTATTTGAACTCAGCAGGCAACCTCATTAATTTATAAAGCTCTCTGACCCCAGTACAGTTAACAGTGTAAAATAATTACAAATTAGGGTTGAAGGAGCACTGTTTTAATATTGCATGGGTCCTGCCAGCAACAAAACCATTTTATTGTGTCCCTATATTTATTATGACTAAATATAATTTTACCTTACCTGAAATGAAGCTTCCTGGTGAATTTTAAAAAAGTTGAACATTAGAAGAAACCTTCATTAAACAGCAACTGTAATAGCTACTACGCCAGTGAAGAAACCTTGCCTATTTTCTCCAGTCATTCTCGTAACACAAAGCACTGCAATTACTGGTATATAGGCTAGTAACAGCCTGGATACAGCAGTAAAGTAAAATATTTTAATAACAAGGCACATTTTAAATGTAACAACTTCTAACTCCTCTAGAAGGATATAAAATACTTGAGTGATGTATAAATATTCTCTCTTACCTAAAACTTGTCAGAAGAAGAGATCCTTCTCATTGTTGTCACCTCCCGTGCCCCCTCTTGCCACCATGGAAATTGGTTCTGCTATGTTTATTGCTCTGTGCCTCAGTTACAGCTGTGACACTAATCTGCCTGCACAGACCAGCAAACGTACGTGTGTGTGTTGGGGGGGGGGAGGTGGTGAGGGGGAGAAAGAGAGAGAGAGAGAGAGAGAGAGAGAAGATAGCCTACTGTCTTCTAGGCTGAGAACCTAAACCTCAGGCCAAGTCAAGGCTGAATGACAATGATCAAAGCTCTGTCCTTCATCAAGAGAGAAGACAGGATTTTTTTCCTCCCAATGAAAAGTGGGACTGTCATTAGGGATTCTCACTAAGAAACCTCTAACAGAGACAGACCTTTTCCAGATTGCTAGTGCCTGCCCAGCAGTCCGTGCAGAATACAGGTAGCTATTGTTCCTGAGACAGATATGTAGCCAACCACTCAGACTGTGACAGATCTCAACAAACCAGTGAGCCTGCCTTCACTTTAACTCTTTATTTACTAGTACTTTACTTTTTGCTGAAATACAAAGCTCTCCTTATATCCCCATGGGGAAAAATGAATTGTAAATAACCACATTTTGGTTAAGAAATGAGCTTGGTATCTTATACATAGAAATGTTCCCATTTAAACTTAAAAAATACTACCTTCACGCTGTAGCTCACGAAAGCTTATGCTCAAATAAATTTGTTAGTCTCTAAGGTGCCACAAGTCCTCCTTTTCTTTTTACCTTCAGTTCAGGCTCTCTTGTTCTGAAATCTGACTGAGCCTAATGGTTAGACATGGTATAGGAATATTAGACTCCAGTAGTAATAAAGAATTCAAATTATACCAGGTCAATAACTGATGCACTATGCTTTATGGAATGTTCATAATTTAAGGCTAAATGAAACCGTTCTGGATAATCACCGCCATGTTTTTACATGCAAATATTCTAGTTTTTAATAAAAGTGAATTGTCTAGTGACAATGTGACATAGTGCTACATGTGTTATCTTTAACATACAGAAGATTTTCCACTGGAAGTCAGCTCCCAGTTTTAATCTGGAGTGAATGTAGAAATCCCAAAAGGAAACAATGTTAGAAAGGGTTATCTAGGTAGTCATGATATTAGCCATCCTAGTCCCCCCTCCAGTTCTGTCACCTAGGTTTTCATAAACAAGTTTTAGCAAAACAAGCTTCATATAAAATAAGTTATGAGTTTAGTTGTAAAGACAAAAATCAAGAAATAGCTCATAAATTAAGGATAATATTCTGGCTTTTATGCACCCACTTAGGCCTACAGTAGACAGTACAACAATCTGTGAACAACTACTGATTCGACATACCGGGCACCCAGTGAATGGGTTCAGGGCAGGTCAGTATTTTAGCCTTTAAACTCAATTTCCTTTTTCCTCTGTTTAAGCTGGTCTCAACTGTATTTTAAACATTGTATGAATGCACAGGTGAGTGAGTGAATACTTTGGGGGATGGGAGGGAGCTTGTTTGTTTTGTTTTTAAAAAAGGCCAAGTTAAAGTATATAAAGGGTGGGGAACAGAAAGAAAATCTTTCATACCAAGATAAAATATGAAATATAAGATGAACAATTTTTACCACTGATCATAAAAATGCAAATTAGAGATATCACTTGAAAAAACATGGATTTTCAACAGGATAGAATGTTACTGTCTGTGGCGTAAGTACAGAGTTTCTCATGTGTGCTCCATAAAAGTACACTGCACAAGCTTAATGAAATTTCTTTGAAAAACAGTCCGTGGTCATTTTTTAAAGGTGCAGAGTAATATTTTCTACTTGAGTGAGGATTTTATTGTGCTTCCCCATTAATGATAAGGGTCAAGTGGCCTTTTATAATTACCCCTGTCCATCAAGAAGGGAGGGGAGTGCCTTTTTAATAGGAATCAATGTCATTCATTGGAACTCGCCCTGCAGGGCAGAAAATCCTCTACAGTGCAGGATGCATTTTACATAGCCAGGACTGTGGATTCTCATGCTCTGCTGAAGGTTTACTCCTGAATGTCTCATTTTAGTTTTTCAGAATATCAGTATATAAAGAAAATGTTGAAATAACTTACCTATGTCAACAACTGAAGTATTTGCAGGGGTACGTGAAGAATGTTTTACTGTATACATATGTTAAACGTGAATATTTTCCCCATGTTAAAAAGGACATTTTATTACCAGTTTCTGAGAGTTTTAGGATGATTCCCCTTTCTATTTTATGCAAGTTTATAACAAACGAGAATTTGCCATAAGGAAGAGGTGAAAAATAACTGCTGGGGAAAGATAAAGGGCTGGCATCCTCATCTGGCGTAAATCTGTGTAGCTCCATTGACTTCAGTGGAGCTACACTGATTTACATCCAGTGCAATTCCAAAGAACAGCTCGGCTGTATGCACCATAATGTGGCAATTTCTTTTCTACACAGCATGAGTGCTACTTCTGGGAAAAGCAAAATGAAGACCACTAACTTTGTATTGTAAAAAGAGCACTCTAAACTCCAGCTGTTTATCATATGGCAAATGTCTGAGTGTGGTCACATTCGATGTCAAGACTTGATTAGACCATACCCAAGCACATTAGCCTTGAATATTTCATTTTGAACCAAGTCTACCATACTTCTTCCAAAACTTGGGTCCTCAACAGAACAAGTCTTGCTGAATTGTTAGAGTAGGTTTTAAACAATTGCATCTTAGCTTATATAGCCATACACGTCAAAAATATCATAACTGAAAGGATGCAGGAGGGATGTGAAAAGAAAAATTTTCAGTACTGAGATATCACTGTGCTGGGTGCATTATAGAAAGATAAACTAGATATATCAGTCTACATTTCCCGCAAATACAGAATGCCCATCCCATTATCCTTAATGACATTATAGGAAGAACTCTCCTCACCATGTCCATTACGGAGAGAACATTCTTTATGCTATGAGTAAAAGGGGAGAGAAGTTTCTTATGGAAGTTTTACTACACTTCCCTTAAAGCCACCTTAGACACAGAGGAAGGCTCTTAATTCCAGCCAAGTCAATCACAAGCACCCAATAATATGCACTTTGCTATAAAACACAAACTCTTGGGTATCAATGAAAAGTGACATAGAGAAGGTGGAGTTTATTTATCTGTAGTAGTTTCCAATGAGAATTGTTTTTTGTAAAAGCACAAAATATGAGAAATGATGTTTAATGTGTATTTTTCTAAGTGTAAAGGGCATTCTCAATAATATACATACGGAATTAGGTATACAACGCCCATTAACAAAATCAGCAGGTATACACCTATAATTCCCTAGGCACAATGTCAATTATATACCCTCAAATATCTACATGACTTGATCTGAAAAATTTGAATTATATTTCCCAAAAGAAGACTGTAAATAAAACAGAACTCCTACTGTATATTACATAATAATCTAGTGTCTGAGAATTTTACCTGAGGACACACTGCTACAGTATTCTCTTTCAGCTAAGTCAGAGTGTTATACATTCAGACACAAAGCCACATACCAGTATCAGGTATCCATTTCCCCCCAGGGATTCAGTGTTTTAATGGTTTTATAGTAAATAGTCATGTATTAAGAAATTATTCATTCCAAATATAACAGAATAAAAAATATCAACTATATGTAGATGTTATATATGCAGAAATACATACAACATCTCAGAGCATATAACCTTAATTAACCTTTTATCTCAGTTTGTACACAAATTATGTGTAAAAAGTTAACTTTACCAGGGACATAAATACTTATGAACTTAACATTTGCTAGTAGATTGATTTGAAAAATGAATAGAAAGTATTCCCAAATGATATAATTCACATTTAACATAATGACTTTGATTTCTTAATACAAAGCAGAACTCTTACTTTTCACTTGTTTATTTTCCTTTTAAAGTTACTTGTTGCAAAACGCACACATTTGTTTAAAGTATTGGTCTTTATTATTGCAGCAAATGTTTAAAATATAAATACCAACTACAAAAATAAAATATGTAAATATTAAAGTGGAGCCAGTACCTATTTTGCTTAGCATTTGGGCAAGTACAACGTGTAGTTTAGAAAAAATGATGAATAAAAATGTGTTCAATTATATTTGTAAATGACGCTATAAAAACAGGTATTCAAAAAAAGTATCATTAAACTCATCAAAGAGACACTTCTGATATGTTACTAAGTTAATACCTTTTTTTTTAATATAACACAGGGCTGAAGATCACATAACATCTTTCGTCTGAACTGTTTTCATAGAAACATAATTAGGGTACTGAATTATCAACTAGATTTTTTGTAAAAGCAAATGTCAAAGATTAGAACTCATCAAGACTATTACAAAGCTTCTATATAACAATGTAGCACACTAGTGTCAAAGATATATTTCATCAGTTCGTATTCCTATATCAACAAATTATACATTTGATACATGATCTGTTGGTAAAAATTCATTCCAGTTGACATCCTTTTTTTAGCCTGCCAGTTTCTAGGACTTGTGTCAGTGTACTCCATCTTCAAAAAACAAAGCTTTTCTTTGCAAGGTTTAGGAATCTTTACTTGCAGAAAATATATTTTACATCTTGTTCTCAGCCACAGTAAAAAACTAAATTGAAACACCTCATTCAGCATTGTGCCTAGAGCTCATATACAGCTAAGTGTTACCCCAAATAAATTGCTACAAGGAGGCTGTATTTGCAGCTTTGTTGGGTAAATGAAACAGTTTCTTTTCCGTGCACTTGCATGTCAATTCTAGTCTTATTCATTTCAATAGTTAGTCAATAAATAAATACATAACCCTAAACAGCATAAGAAAAAATAAAATTCTCCTAAAAATAATGCAAATGTGGTAGACATCAAAGGACAATATATCACTTTCCCCTCAAATATTGGATATAGTGTGTTTAAGTAGTACACTACACATTATAATTTGATGATTAATTTATTACTGTCATTGACTTACAGCCAGTTTTGACCTACCGCAGTAAATGCTGTTCTATGGGAGTTGCTCATCTTGAAAGGCCATGTGTACAGTAGCTTGATGAAGGGGGAAAAAAACAAAACAGTCAGAGCTTCTCTTGTAGCTTCATTGTGCCGTATGCAGTTCTCCTCCTCTTAATCTTTTGATAAAAGTCAGAATGCAACATGATTTATTAATGTAGCAAAGGCTTTACAATTCAGAGCTAAAAATATTATTGGACTTCTCCCTAGCTAGCACTGTTTAAGGAAGTCTTTAAAAAAGCAATTTAATTTCATTCTACCAAGTCAAATTTTCTCCACTGATAATTAGTTTTCATCATATGCATAAAAAGCTACAAAGACGCCAATTTTTAGAATTTATTTTTATTACAGGAAGATTTACCAACTTTTGCAAGAAATTTTATTGTCAGTGTTTCCCCATGGCTAACCTACAAAGCTTTATTGTTAATAATATAATACTCCACAGTAGCATTCACCAATGTACCTTAAAATCAGAAAGTACTTGAGATTTTTTTCTGTACTCCCACATCAGTTATTTTTCTGTAAAATAATTTAAAATCATACCTGTTATACATTTAGTATCAATATTTTAAATTGAATCCATAGAAGTTAAAATACCCACCGTGTGTTTTGAAGACTTAAAACATGTGGTTTGACAAACATTTGTGCTTCTCTAGCCATTATCAGCATGTTTAATACTATGTTATTGAGATATACATATTAGGCTTAAATATATAATATGGGTACTTAACCCCAAACCTGTTCACTTTCATTTAGTCAAGGAGAACTATTTGTTCATAAATGCCTCAAAACACCAGGCTAGCAGTGTTTGTAAAATGTCTAAAACAGCATGGGAACACGCATACAACATGAAATACACTGGACATTAATACTGGAAAAGCAAAAATTGACAGGAAATTTGCCATACTCTTAAAAGAAGAATATGCTGTCCCCATCTCCTCCTCCTTTCCCTCCCAAAAAACTTAGGTCTTACTTGAACTAGACACATAAGGCAGAAAAGTATCCATACAAGTTTACAGCAACAAATGTAATGGTAGACATGTACTTACCAAGAGTCTCATCCTGCTTAGACTTCAGGGTATTTTCTGTGACATGAAGAGTTTTGGATTAGAAGATTTACTGCTGTCCTCCTGTTCTTCTAATTCTTCAGTTGCAGGTACAGAGAAACCACGACTAGTACTGTTTTGAAATAAAGACCGTGGCCTGTGTAAGCCAAGATACTCTGCACTGCCTGAAGATCTCTGCAGTGCTCTTAAACTCCTCCACTGAGACAGGTATTTGTTGCTGTCTGGTGTCCAAACAGGTTCATAGTAGCAGTCACCTTCATTCTTCAGTCTTAGAGGCCCTGTGTGCTGAAAGAAGAGGGGGTTTCCTTTTCTTTAGTATTTATTTGCTTCTGGATTGGAGGAGGAAGGTCAGAGATTTTCAATTTGAGATCAAAGACAGGCATGTAATGGAAATGAAACATAAGTTTTCTGAATTGCATTCAGCTCCCCTAGTTGCTGCATTACTAAAAACCTCACAGTGTTCCTGACTCTCTAAGTCTTGAGGTCTCTGTGATTTTTTTTTTAAAAGCCACATTTTAAACAAATTAGTTTCCCCCACTTGCAGCACTGCAGTCTTTCCATTGTTGAATAGTAACTGTTTCTAAAAAGGAAGCTCTTAATAAAGCTAAGGTCAGACTGCTTAGACCTGGCATTTGCTGAGATAACAAATCAGAAATGATAGCATCATACAGATTTATGAATTTTGTGCCCCCGCAGTCACAAACATCAGACATTTACTTTATAAAGAAAGCTTTTAGATTCTTCCTGCAGTTTCCATAGTGATTTCATTTTTTTCTCTTTTATCACAGATTGGCTGAAGAGCTGCTACTCTTTGTGCTTTAAAAGACTTGTGCTACCAACTGTCGACATAAAGGTACTATAGCTAAAGCACACAAGGAATATATACCATCAAAAGTAATTGAAACGGATAAACGTTGGCAAAAAGGTTTCAGTAATTTCTCCCCCTGTTTCTGTAGAATAGTTTGGTAGAATATTACTTCATCTGAATAAATGAATGTAACTTGAGCTGTACTGCTGTTCTATTTTACCATAAACTATGATACTTCTATTAAGGTACTCGTCATACAAAAAATAATCTCTTCCCAAAAAGCTTTAATATAGCTTAGATCATGCAAAATGCCTGAGCTTGTTAGCCATAAATGAAAGCAATTTCACTTCAATTATTTTAGTCTCATCTACAGACAGTGTTTATGCCAGTGATATTTTTTCTGCCTCTTTCGTAACAGTTTATTCTCTTTAAAAGTGTTCTGTAAAAAATAATTATATTGTTTTTGGCAAAGTATGTTATGCTCTGTACTGCAAAAAATAATAACCTTACAAAACAAACATGAAGAATAGTTTCTGTTTAACCCCTTGATGTAGATGTCTCCTTCACAACACTGAACTCAATCAAGTATACAATTTTATAGTTACCTGCCCTATTAAAATGGAGTTTTAGATTATAAAATGTATATAAAGTATTTCACTACTTCTCTCTCAAATCTCATTTAACAGTAAGAGGGTACATGGTTAATTCCAGCCATAGTTTGCTCTAATCCTATGAGAATTTGTGTTCTTCTGAGTCAAAGACTGTCTAACTTCTTAGAGATACTGAATTCATATCACGAAGTGATAAATGTATTGCAAATAAACTCTTAGCACTGAAAATAATTTTCTAGTTGGCTCTAAAAATAATGAGATTGCCAATTCAGTATGAAAATAAGAAAAGTTAATGCAAAATTCATATGAACAAATATAAAAAAATAAAACATATAAAATGCAGTAACAGTAAAAACAGATGTTCTCATTTAAAAAGGGAAATACAGGCAACTTTGTTTTGCATATGTTTCAGAAAATAAATGCAAACTCAATATATTATCTAGTGATGCACTATCAAACTCCTTATTTTTAATGTCATCTATTTATGAGGCAGATTGTGCATCCAGCTTTGGTTGATGGATATTAAAATCTACTGGTGAGTATTCAAATCTATTAAACAAGCAATAACTTTGAACATAAAATATGTTAATACTTACTGCCAATACAGGTTGTTGGCATGAAGAGGGTTTTTACCACTTGATAAGTGAAACATTATATTTGAGTGGTTTCCCAACACAAATTTAGAATAGAAACAGACGATTGGTCAGATTCTGCACACTTACTTACACTGAGTAGTATCTTACTCTGCAAATGGTCACAATGAAATCAATGGGGCAACTTACAAAGTAAGGCAGCACACACTGTGAGGAAGGATGGCAGAATCTGCCCCTAACTTTATAATCATTTTCCACAGCAACCTCCATGAGGGTCATTTTGTTGACCGCTGAAGTGCTGTATGCAAATTAGTGTCAGGTGACTCTCTGGTTCTCAATGTTTAGAACAACAATACTGCCATTGTTTAGGTTTCTCAGCCTCTCTTCCTAAACTATAAAATATATCCCATGCCAACACAGGTGACCAGATTCCTGTCCTTCCTGTAAGGATTTCAATTTATCACAGTTTCATATGATTTAAAGATTAGGACTATAAAAAAACCACATAGCCACAAGCAAAATGTTGGTCCCTTAACATGTTTGAATCATTTTATAGACAGCTTCCACATGTCTAAGAAAGAACTCTTGTTTAAAAATAAATCAGCAAAAAGAGCATTTTTAATGGCTTTGTCCCAAAACTGTAGGAATGAGCAAATTAACTTTGATAACACAAGAGCCAGCTGAACCTGAACATTTTTAAAGCTTCAGATCACTTTTTTAAACAAAAATTAGAGTTCATTTTCACACACCTCTGTTCTTCCTGGTTTGGCTATGATCAGAGATGGAAATCCTGATACGCTTTAAGAAAGGATGGTCTCATGGCTAGAGCCCTGAGTGGATACAAAACTTGTATCCACATCCAATCCACGATCTGCAAACATGGCCTGCAGATATAAAGTGTAAAGATATAAAGATATATATTAAATCTAAAATATATTAAATATATTATATTAAGTTAGATCTATATATAGTAAAGATATATATATATCTGCAGATTTGCAGGACTTTATTCATGGAAGCAACAAAGTAACAGAATTCACAGAGAAATCAAGTTCCCATGAGATTTCCAGTCCAACTTTTCACCCTTTAAGAAGTTTGGATAGTTCATATAAGATTCACGAAAACCTCTGACTTTCTGGGTGCTTATTCAAGACTTTTGAAGTTTGTCTATTCCTTTTTTGAACCCAGGAAACTCTCATGAAATTAAACATCATTAAAATGGAAATAAAAAATTCTTGAGGCAGTAGGGAGCAAACAGGGCATTTAAAATAGACCCTTTACTAAAAGTCCAGATCAAAAAGAACTGTGTGTTCTCTTCTACATATTTCTGCACACTTGCCTTACAGAAAACCTGAAACATCATGAAACTTACCAAATAATGAAACTCTTAGTTGCTATATGTTTGATTACATCTCTTTCCATGAAAGTGACCTCTTCTGTCACATAGTTGAAGGTTGCTCAAAACTTTCTTTCCTCCTCTTTATCAAAATTGAAACATAGGTGTAACCCATGCTTACTCAGTGTGGTTCTCTGTTCTCTCTAGTGACTAGACCATATAGACATTTACAATCCTAGCTATCTGTTAGCCTAAACAACAATGGCTCATGCTGAGTATCTGTTATTAATTAAAATATATTTTTAAGAAGCTCATTTGCTGTGCCAAGTGGTCCAGGTCCTTTCTGCAGCAGTTCACTAGCAAGCAGGAAAAAAAGGAACACATAATACACTATAGGAACAATTCACTTCTTCACTTTATGAACCCCACTTGCAACAGAAATGAAAGACACTTCAGATGCTGCACCTCAATTCTTTCCTCTTTACTTTAATGTACATTCTGCTGAACTATCATAAAATAACTTGGGGCTAAATTCTTCTCAGGGAGAAAGGGAAAATCTCTGTAAGAGGTAAGAAAATTCACTAGTTTCAGCTCAAGTAGTTTCCTCCTAATTATTCCATGATTCTGCCACTCTCCAGAAAAAGCAGAGGACTCCGCCCTCTAAACAGCGGATTTCTTGAGATCCTCTTGGATCTTTGTGTAGTTTCCCAGGCTAGTCTTTCCCCTCTGGAAGGAAACCACTGCAGAAACCATGACATCTGGGCTGCTATTGCACTTATTCAGACTGAAAACCACTCTGAAAAGTAAACCATAATACTTTAAAAATGTTTAAAAGTTTGAGATCCTACCTCAATAAAATGTGCATTATCAACCAACATTTTACGGTTCCAAACAAAATCATAACTTCTATTTACCCATCAGTTCCAGGATTCAGGACTCTGGTTTTCTGCCAGTTGGCAGCAACACTAACTACTCAAGGAGTTAAAGGAATATAATTCCTTGCTTGAAGCGTCATCAAAGTCAATACCTCTAAATAGAAGAATCAAAGCCCACCACTAAGGTCTTGGAAGATAAAAAGCCTTTTAGATCAGCTTTAAGATCATGATGAAGGATATGCCTTTTCAGTTCTGCAGTAAGTGGAACTTATAAAGTAATGGTCTCTTACATTCAATCTGAAAAGAAAGCAACACAGTAAATACAGCAATGCAGCTTACCACTCATATGCACTAATTGTGACCTTATTAGATCTTTACCACATCCTCCTAAAGAGTATGGTTAAACGCATACATTATTTGGGCCCATGTTAGCACACACCAACATTCTTTACTGCCTTGTTTCCACTTTCATTCCATCTTGATAAAATATTGATATCTGAAATTGTGATATTTTATTTATTGGAAACATTCATTAATGAATGAAAGCATCAGATGTGTTAAGAAATATGCCAGCTCTGATCCAGGCTTGCCATCTATGCCAGTTGTATTTGTTGGAGGAGTGCACCTATTTATTTTTGAAAACTGGAAGCTGATGGGGCACAGACTGGAATTCATAGCTGCATTATGTAGCAACTGTATTCACAATGCTCCTTATTTAATGAAAAGAGTATTTTCCTACAGTATGAATTTCAGCTAGAAGGGAACTATCCAGAACTCCACCTAGGCATTTGTAATCTGCCCATCACCATAATATCTATGTGTCAATTCACAAGTTTATGTGCAAAGGTTTTTTTTCTTCTGGGAGGAGGTGGAACCAGTAGCACAGCGTATAAACTGACTGCCTAGAAGAAATCCAGAACAAATTAACAAGAGACATTTTCAATGAGTTGAGGTCCACTTGTTCACTGAAAAATGCATGTATAGTTGCATGGTTACTTCTACACATACATTTACCATAACTTTGCCTGCAATTATCTACATTTACCACAACTGCGTGCAAAAACGGGTGGACGAGTAAACCTATTTGCTTGCAAAATTGTGGTAAAGTGGCATGTATACACAAGTACTTGTTTGCTCAAGGGCCTTGTCCTTGGAAACATTACTCACAGAAGCTGCTAAGTGAGAGTTTAGTGTCAACAGGAATTAATGGCTAGAGTGAAACTGTCCTGTTTTCCCCTCAAAATGAATAAAAACTGATTTTTTTTTAGGGTTCTGTTTTTTTTTTTTTTTTTAGTTTTGCATTTGAAGTCTCTGATTTTCAGCTACATCCACCCACAGCTCAGATATAATGGAGAAGGCTGGCTGCAGAGATCCAGAGCCCAGCTTCTGCACAAGTTAAAGCAGTACACTGACTGCTCTAACTTAAACTCCTTACAATGCCATGTGCCCCAACAGAAGACTAGGTGTAGCAGATATAAGCTCTACCACACATGCTTCTATTCCATACAGGATCTAATACTATGATCACCATAGTATCTGAGTGCCTTAGTCAATGTGACCAACATTTGTCACATGCTGTTTGTTCTCTCGCTCTATCCCCAGGGGAGAGGAGTGTGAAGTGGCTTGTCTTGTTTTGGTAGGTTTTTGGTTTCAAAAAAATATTCTGAGCTAAGTATTTTTGTTACAGAAGGCAAGGACAGAGCAATGTGCCTTGCACTTGGAGCAGAAGATAGTGAGGTTTCTGATGGTCCTTAGTTCCTGTGGGAGTTCATTCCACAGTCTTGAACCGCCCACGAAAAAGTTCTCTCTCATGCAAAGATGAGCTTTGGCAGATTCCATTATGCCAGAGGAGCAAAACTGTTAGCCATAATCTTCATCCTGGAGCTTTAGGTGTTCTATTAGCTGGGTCCACACCATGCAGTCCCTTGAAGATACAGACCTAGACTTTGATTCGACAGTCCATGGGAAGCCACTGTAGAGAGCAGAGGACAAGTTA